CTGATATGTTGGTGTGTGCCTGTAGTCCTCGTTACTTAGGAGGCTGAGACGGGAGGATTGCCTGAGCCCAGGAGGTCCAGGCTGCAGTGAGCCATGATTGCATCACTGCACTCCAGTGTGGGCAACAGAGCAAGCCCTTCCTCGAAATAAATAATAAATAAAATAAGTTAAAAATCTGCATGAGAACTATCTTTTGTAAGAGGTATTAATCAAAAGACTCAGCTCAGAAAGAACTAAGTGACTGTGACTACTGGTCCTTGTGGCCCTGGACGCCTGCCACCTCCCTGCTCTGGGGTTCTGTGTAAATCCATAGGCTCTTTCCTTCCGGGATGGCTTTCTGCCATGCCGCCTTCCCCGGTGGATGACTGCAGAACCATACCTTGTGAGCCCTGCTGAGCCAAGCACAACTCCTTTGTCTTTTTTTCTACCCTTTTCTTCTCCTCTCCTTAATTTTTCTAAAGTAAATCATGCTGTCATAAGTCTGGTTTTAGAGAGAACCTTCTTGGGATTTTGAGAAGCCAGCTCAATACGACTTGCCATTTCACGTTGGAAAAGTTAGGAGAACGTCTAGAATCAGACCAACCAGGCTTCCTCTCTTCCTGTTATGAACCACGCCAGGAATTAACCCCATTTTAAAAGGACACAACTTACTTATTAACCCACCTGACTTATTAAATGACATCTGTGCCCACCTCAGGGGGCCCAGGGCCAAAGAAGGAGCCATCAAAGTTAGCAAAATGAGACGTTTATTACCATATGAAGACCATCAGGAGAGGGGCTGAGGTGAGTTTAGCAGGAATCTTGTACTATATTAAATGTGATTTTTGGATATCAAATCCCAAAGGAATTGATGTCGGGAACTTTCTTCAAATAAAATACAATGTATTCCCTTTTGACCATGACAGGATTCCTTTAACTTCCGCCATAAGCAAAGCAAAGCATCTGCTCACCCCTAGTTTTTGGCACGTGCCTCTAGGTCCGTCCACAGACCCCCCTGCATTCCTTCCCCAGCAAGGCCGCTGCCAGGTCCCCCTTCCCACTGGGGCTGTCCCCTCAGCTCGTCGTGATGGTTCAGAGAGTCCTCCACAGGCTCTGCTCTCTGGCTTCTTCCAGGATGCAGACGACCGTGGAGAGTGGAGAAAAACAACCAAGCCTGGGTCTGCTTTGGTTTTGTAACAGAGGCAAAGAGAAAAGGCAGCCCACGTACTCCCCTTAGGACCACCTCAGTCCATCAGTGGAGCAAATGTGGCTGGTGCTTGTCGAGGCTTAGCCGGGGTGTCTTTGCAAGGTTCACATTTGCCGCACAACTTACGAGTTTATGATTCTTCTCAGACATACTAATTCTCAATTCTTAGGAAATAATAGCAACCAGATAAGGAAGGTAGAATTCAAAGGAAGAATCCATTTTAACCCAAATGTATGGGACTCAGTTCCATCATCCCTATTTTATTCTTTAAAAAAATAGAACCTGCTTTCTTTCAGTCAGCAAATTGCTCCCCACCACCCCATTTCTGGCTTTCCTACCTTCGTATCCCCATCCTTCTCTTGGTTGCTTAGGGTTTATTATATTGTAGTAAAATACACATGACACAAAATTTACCGTCTTAACCATTGTTAAATATACAGTTGAGTGGCAGTAGGTCCGTTCGCATCGCTGTGTAGCCACCACCGCCGTCCATCTCCAGAACTCTTTTCATCTTGCAGACCTGAAACTCTGTACCCGTTAAACAGCTCCCATTTCCCCTTCTCTAGTCACTGGAAACCAACACTGTACTTTCTGTCTCTTTGAATTTGACTCCTGTAGGAGGCTTATATAAGTGGAATCATAGTATTTGCTCTTTTGTGACTATCTTATTTCACTTAGCATAATATCCTCAAGGTTTATTCATGTTGTGGCACATATCACAATATCCTTCCTCTTTAAGGCAAAATAATAATCCATTGTCTATGTATACGACATTTTTAAAATCCGTTTATTTGTTGATAAGCACTTGAGTTGTTTCTACCTTTTGGCTATTGTGAATAATATTATTAGCATAGCTGTTCCATCTGTTTGAACCCCTCCTTTTAATTCCTTTGGGTGCATACCCAGACGTGGAACTACTGGATCATATGGTAATTCTATTTTTAGCTTTTCGAGGAATCACTCTACTATTTTCCACAGTGGGTACATCATTTTTCTTCCCATAAACAGTGCACAAGGATTATAAAGTCTTCATAGCCTGGCTGGCACTTGTTATTTTCTGTTGTTGTTGTTTGTTTGTTTGTTTTTGTTTGTAATAGTAGCCATCCGAATGGGTGTGAGGTGTTATTTTGTGGTTTTGATTTTTCATTTCCCTAATAACTGATGATGTTTTCATGTGCTTATTATCCGTTTCTATATTTTCTTGGGCGAAATGTCTAAGTTTTTTGGCCGTTTAAATCAGGTTCGTTTGTTGTTGTTGTTGAGTTGTAGGAGTTATTTATGTATTCTGGATATTAACCACTTAGCAGAGATACCATCTGCAAATATTTTCTCCCACTCAGTGGGTTGCCTTTTTACTCTGTTGTGCCCTCTATGCACTGAAGTTTAAAATTTTGTTACAGTCAAGTTCATTTGTTTTTCTTTTGTTGCCTGATCTTCTGGTGTTATATCCAAGAGACGGTTGTTAAATCCAATGTCAAGCTTTCCCTCATGCTTTCTTCTGATAGTTTTGTAGTTTTAGGCCTTACAGTTAGGTCTCAAATCCATTTTGAGTTAACTTTTGTATATGGCGTAAGGTAAGGGTGCAACTTCATTCTTTTGCCTGTGGATATCCAGTTTTCCCAGCACTGTGGGTTGAAAAGACTGTCCATTCCCCCATTGAACGGTCTTGGCAACTTTGTGGAAGATCGCTTGTCAGGGCTTAGCCTTGAGTCTTTGCATTATAAACCTTGAGCTGCCTGAGGCCAGTCTCCTTCCTGGCTTCTACTGTCGGAGCCACTATTCTAGTGCTTCATTTACGTTAGCCTGACGCTGCTTAAAAGACCATCTACGGGCACGGTGGCCCACACCTGTATTCCCAGCACTTTGGGAGGCCGAGGTGGGCAGATCACTTGAGGTCAGGAGTTTGAGACCAACTTGGCTAACATGGTGAAACCTTATCTCTGCTAAAAATACAAAATTAGCTGGGTGTGGTGGCAGGCGCCTGTAATCCCAGCTACTTGGAAGACTAAGTCAGGAGAATCGCTTGAACCTGGGAGGCAGGGTTGCAGTGAGCTGAGATTGCGCCATTGCACTCCACCATGGGAGACAAAGCAAGACCCTGTCTCAAAGAAAGAAGCTTCTACTAAAAGCTCTTCATTTTCCTTGGCATTTTGCGAGTGTGTGTGTGTGTGTGTGTACACTTATTGCAAACTCTTATCTCTTACACCCTTCATTGCACTGTTGCACTTACGTTTGCTGCTTCTCACTGTAAGCAGTTAAGGCTTTATGTTTGTTGGTTCTTTTAATTTAATGATATAAAAAGCTCTGGAAGCCCAAAGTCTAATAACTTGTATGAAACAACCAGAAAACTCTCTTGCTGAAAGTAGGTCCGTAACCAACTGACTTAACACCCTTTGGTATAGCACAATCAAAGGTTCTGCAGTGTTTGGAGATGGAACACTTGTTGAATCCGATAATTTGAAGAAAGATGCTACGTGATTTCCATAGCAGTTAGCAAAGCTCAGTCTAAAATGAAGAATACTCCTTTCATGAAACTTAAGCACTGTATATTTCGTGCGTGGAATTGTGTTGGGGCGTTTTCCACAATGCCAGCCGCTCTTGCAGCTCACATGACTTGGCTGTACTGACAGACGTTGTAGGAGTTGGTTCAAATTCATTATCATTGCTTTCATTACATGAAGGTCTGGGGATCACTGCCCAGGGCACAGACCAGTGGATGTGCAATTTTACAAGAGACTGAGAGCTCAGAGCTGCCATTCATTGTTTCAGAAGTAGAGTGTGGAATTCCATTTGTGAATGTTGAGTCCTTCAGCACAATTGAAGGAAACGCATTGACATAATTGCATAGATGACACTCTTGTTTCTATAGAAACGGTCTGTATCATGGGGAGAGGTTCAGGAGTCTTGTTCATATTCCTCCTGGGCAGAAATTTTCTGGAATTAGCTCTGCCCCATCCTTTGTCAGTCACTGAGTGGAGAGTGAAGGGAATGTCCTCCTTTCAGAGGACACTAGCCTCCGACTCAGAGGTCCGTGGGCTCAGCTGTCTCATGATCAGGCTTGCTTAGTTCTTTTGCTGCCATAAAAACAGAAACTGGTTTCCCTTAAAGCCAAATGAGCTAGGGCAGCCTCTGATAAAAGGCATTAGAGAGATCAACCTGTGATTATATAAATGTTATGCCTTCATAGTTGAAACAGTAATTGTTTGACTTACTAACATTCCGTTGTGTTTTGAGTTGGATTTAAACTCTGTGATGTCTGTGCGTATATGTATCTTTAAGTCATATTGATAACAATAAATAATATTTCTCATTTTTTATTGGTGTGTAGACTCACCAGAACGTTGCCTTGAGTTGCTTTGCTTTGGAAGGATAGCTAGACAGCTGTGTGGTGGACACATAACCCAACAACGTTACTGACATTGCTCCTGTCTTGTGTTGAGCTTTATAGCAAAACTTTGACATTAAATTACTCATGCAGTAGCTCACCGTGTGTCTCCTATCTTTGCCATAAAAATCAGCTTAAGTTACGGTGTATCTTTATAGTCTTCTGTGACTGGCAACTTGCAGTGTATGAATATTCTATTTTCCTGGAACTGAAAAGATACAAGTAAGAATCTCTCGTCCTTGGAGACTTTTGAAAAGAAAGGCAGGCAGGGCTTGAATTATAATTACTAGAGAAGTCCCAAAGAAAGCCCTGCCCATGTGTGTTTCCAACATGTCCTTGTGTTGCTATGTATGAGACTTTGGGACTTGAATATGCTCCCCTGTCTTTCTCCGGCACGAAGTATTAACATCCATGTATTTTTCTCCACAGTAAAACCGACCGTAATTGACGTTGACATTTATGTTAACAGCATTGGCCCCGTGTCATCAATAAACATGGTAAGAAGCTCCTTTATTTTCTGATCTAACGGCTGTTACACCTCTTCTTGTTACATTCTCATTGTGGATTTCTGTTTGAGATTTATCATGCAGGTTTAAAATTCACACTGACTTCTTAAATCTGTAGCACTTATTGAAATATTGAAAGTGGTAAAAAAAAAAAAAAAAATGAAGAAATAGAGCTTGTGGCAGTAGTACATTTCCACTTTTAGTTTCTTCTTTCATGATCTAAGAGACCTGTGTTGTATAGTGTTTCTTAGGAAAGGATTCTAGATCACTCAGATTTTACTTTCGTCTTCAGTTTGGACTTTGAGAGTAAATAAACTGCCTCTGCTTTTCAGTATGGGATCAAACATGTGCTTCCCCCGAGTAGGCTATTCCCACAGGCTTATAAGCAAATTAAGCTCAAGAACTCTTGGATGTGAAAGAAGGTCCTTCCCTGTGCGAAAGTGCCTGGCCATGAAGCAAGTGTGGGGATATTGGAATACGTTAGGGTGAGAGCCTTCCCTAGTGGGCTGAAGGCCACAGTCCACCTGCCAGCAAAGGGTTACTAGGAGTCCCTAGGATCCCCGAGCAGGCCTGGCAATTGCAGCCCGAAGCGTTGTCAGGAACTGCCGCCTGCAGAGGTCCTGCCTGTGCTCCCTGGTGCACATTTGCTCCTGATCCGGGGAGACATATGAGGCCGAGGGAGGGGAATTGCCAAAATGCTGACTTAAATGTCTTCTTTTCACTGCAGTGTTCTGGGGATGGAAATAACCCCTCCAAAATTAGTAGCAAAATCATTTCTTTTCATTGCCAGTTTTTAAAAGTGTTCTTTTCTCTGGTGATATAAGGGTTCCATGCAGGGGTAAAGTTATATTTATGGGTGATTCACTTAAAAAATCTCCATATCATCCCTAAACTGGAGCAAAGAAGTGGAATGAATAAAGGAGAATTATTTCACACAACCTATGTGCTGCAGATGGCTGTATATTAAAATCAAGTTGTGGATGTAATATTCCCTTTTCCTGATACACCATTATTCAGTTGACTGCATAGAGTAACCCTTTCTTATGTATGTTTCTTGTGCTGGAGTTTTATTTTCTTGCATTTGCTCCACAGCCGTGTATTCAACACCTTTATGTCTAACATGTATCTATGTTTAACACTCAAAGAAGAAGTGCCTTCCTGGATATATGGTTACAGAATTATTTCAGGAATAGTCAGTTGCATATGCACATAGAGGGATTTTCATGCAGGTCTTTAGCTTTAGAATTTACTTTGTGCCTTGTGTTAGGCTTTGTTATTGGAATCGACGGGAATTTTCGTGTGGAAATCACGGGTTGTGGAGAAGGAGGCTAGTGAATGACAGGTTGCTTCAGGGTGATATGGCTGCAGGAGTGGAAGGGAGTCTCCAGGGAGGTCCTCTTCATCTGAAACTTGATGGATAGGCGAGCGTTTGCCAGGTGGGATAGTGTGTGAAGGTCCTTGGTGACACAGGAGGCCAGACTGCATCACACAGCTGGGGAAGAGGGAGTGGTGTGTGGAGAGATGCCTGGAGGGGCACACAGAGGGAGCCGTGACCGAGGCCCTGAAGCTGCAGTTGATAGTTGGACCTCAGCCTTCTCTCCGTCCAAAACAGATCCCTGCATTTGGAAACCATGAAAACCTTTTCCCATCAGAGATCTGAGCAGGTCATATTTCATGAGATTGGTTCAAATCCAGCCCAGGTGCGTTGGCTCACGCCTGGAATCCCAGCACTTTGGGAGGCTGAGACAGGTGGATCATGAGGTCAGGAGTTCGAGACCAGCCTGGTCAACATGGTGAAACCCTGTCTCTACTAAAAATACAAAAAATTAGCTGGTTGTGGTGGCAGGCACCTGTAGTCCCAGCTACTCAGGAGGCTGAGGCAGAAGAATCACTTGAACCCAGGAGGCGGAGGTTGCAGTGAGCCAAGATTGAGCCACTGCACTCCAGCCTGGGTGACAGAGCTAGATTCCATCTTAAAAAAAAAAAAAAAATCAATAAGATCGCTAGTCAGACCCCTCTCTCCCTTAAAAAAAACAAAAACTACACGATGACACAGAGCTCACATTAGGGACTTGAAATCATGAACTCTGATCCTTCCCTGTGGGGCGAGAAATGACCTTAGAATGGCCGGGGGCATTGTAAACCCTGGGCCCCAGAGAAGAGCACGTGTGCACCAGCGTCCTGCTCATCTGGAGGCTGACACAGCAGGTTTCCCAGGCTGAGCTGTGGCAGGATGTGGAGTAGAAAGCTTTCTTCTATTAACGGTCTCATTTGTAAAACTTGCCCTGAATATTTTGAAACATCGTGTAGTCCAGTTGGTTTTCTTCCTAGCATGGCTCTCTACCCTACTGGAGGGGTGGGGAGCCAATGTGGCTGCCTGCTCCTGTGTGAGTTGCAAGCAGCTGACGCTTGCAGCCTTGGGGAAGCCGAATGCTAACGAGTGCTTTCCTCTGCAAACAGCACCGAGGCTGTAGTCAGTGCTCAGCAGGGATGGCACTGTCTGGACCATTCTAGAGTCTGATTTCCTGAAGAAGACACAGCGTACTACTAGCCTACCTTGGCTCAGCAAAGCATAGAGGGCAAGCAAGGATGTGTTTAAAATGCACACACACAGGCACACACACACGTATGTGTGCACACACGTAGCACACGCACACACACAGGCACACACATGCTAGCACATTCACAGGTTTAATTCCCATGTTCTCCTTGCGTGAATTGCTCTGTGTCTCTCTCTCTTCCTTCACGCACATTTGCCATGCGACCAATGTGAGGCCCCGTGCTGGGTGAAGGTGAGACACGATGAACCAAGGCCTGCTTTGGTGGGGCGAGTCTGTGGATGGGCTGAGTGCCAGAGTGGAGGTAGGTTCCTTTCTAAGCAGCCCGGACGGAGCTGGCAGGCTCTGGCTGGCCTGGGGGACGTTTCAAAAGCCTTCAGGAGGCAGAGGCCTCGGGGACCACTTCTGGAAGAACCTTTGCGCTGGGAATGCTTTGCTGGGAGACCGGAATAATAAGGGCATCTCACATTGCCGAGCGCATCGCATAGACCTGCTATGTCTGTGAAACCAAACAAAATAATTTTCAAAGAAGTAAAGGACTTAAAAATGAAATGCAGATCTTAGAAAAAACAATAAAACTGTAAAAGTAGAGAACTGACTGTGTAGGTGGGTATTGGGGATTGAGTTAGCCGTAAAAAGGAATATAAGAAAGACTAAAACAATCGAAGAACACAAGATGGGAAGAAGCACACTCTAGAGATGCAGACAGGGTTTAAGGATGTAAATTTGTATTGGGGGTTTGACCACAAAGGCAAAGCCTGGTAAAATTATGGCTTCTTGTCCACATAGTCGTTTAACAATCAATGAAACAGGGAGCAATGACTATTTCATCTCCTTCCTCCTCTTCCTCCTCCTTCTCTCACACTTTCTGCTTTTTATTGATATTGTGAACACTGAAGATTCTGCCTCAGACATTCCTTCTGCTGAGTGGAAATGAAGTTGCATCTCAATCTATTGTTTGATAGATTATCTTTGTCTTGTTTATACTGGAGCTGTGTATGCTTTTTCTAGTTACGGAGATTAGAAACGAGACCAGGGGAATACTTCTTTACATGAAGCTTTCATAGCCCTCTGCCTTTATCGCTGCCGCACACCTCAATGTGCAGCATTCGTCATAGAAAGTGTGCACGGTTTGTTTCCACACGGGAAGGCTGCGTGCAAGGGAGCTTGTGAGTTTGTTTTTGAGAATATCCACTTCAAGCAGCCTTGTAGGCAAGCGAAGAAGAAAACCAGCATTCTGACACTTACTCTGTGCTGTTGACCCCAAATCCTTTAATCTTGACAGGACCATAGTGGAGAAGGCATTGACCTTTCTGCTTGTTTGTGTCCAGTCAGCGGAAGCTTGTGGCAGAGATCTTAGGGCAAGGTTCTGAGTGTGACCTGCTTGGCAGCAAAGCCCTGGCTTTGTTTCCTAGTCGATGTGGACACACAGCAGCTGGATGTACCTGTAGGGTCCCAGCCTTAACATGGAACTCAAGACACAAAGGGCTCAGTGTGATCCAGTGTTAGGATTGCTTTTCTGTGTGTTTTTTTTAAGAATTAAATTAATAAATTTTATTTTTTGAGCATTTTTAGGTTTACATAAAAATTGAGCAGAAAGTAGAGTTCCCCCGTATATTTTCCTCTACACACACACACACACACACACACACACACAACACGTTATTATTAACATCTTGAATTAGTGTATTGTGTTTGTTACAATAAATGAATGTACCTTAATCTATCTTTATCATCCAAAGCCTATGGTTTACATTAAGATTCACTCTTGGTGTTGTTTTATGGATTTCAGCAAATGTGTAATGCTGTGTATCTGCCCCTGTAGTATCTTACAGAGTAGTGTCACTGCCCTTGAATTCTCTGTGCTCCAGCTGTTTATCCCTTCCTCTCCCCAGACACTGGCAACCACTGATATTTTTACTGTTTCCATAGTTTTGCTTTTTCCAAAATGTCGTATACTTCAAATTATAGAGTAGGCAGCCTTGTGAGATAGCTTTTTTCCTTCATTTAAAAAAGTACTGATACTAATTCATCTGAGGAAATCTAAGACTTGTAGTGAGTCAGTGTGATGTGACTACAACGTGACCATGTGTTACCAGAAATTAATGGGATGGCTCTGTGGATTGGGGGACAGGTCCAACATCACCACGATATGTTCCATTATATGATACATAACCTACACATTTGAAACTTAAAAGATGACATGCAGCCAGAGAAATCGTAAGAGAACACATGAAGCCTCTCAAACCTTATCTCTGCTCCATTCCACTTGTGGCTGAAGCTTTAAGAAGTGAAGCCAGGACACCAAGTCCTGATTAAGGCCTGTGGAAGATAAATTCCATTTGGTCATTACTGGAGGATGAGCTATTGCTTTGTGGAACTCTTTTGGAGTTATCTAAACTCAGGAAAGTTTAAAATAAGTGACAGCTAAAG